TAAATATACTGTATGTATGCTGCCTCCGGCCATTTTTGAAACCACATTTCCATTAAATCGTATTTATTCGAAAACACTCATCAGTTAAAAAATATCTGTTCGTTTCTGTGTGTGGTTTGTATTAACGAACACTCATCCATCCAGACATTTAACACTTTTATTTGGTATCTTAAATTTCGTTTAGTCAATTTGTTATATCGAAAGCTATGCTAACGCGCGTGCCGTCTACCCGGAATACAATACTTGATTGTCAAAGCTATCTAATGAGACTTCAATAAAATAAAAAAATAAAAAAAAAATTATGTGAAACATCTCGAAATGTCAAGCGTCATTAATTGATGCATTACATTCAAAGTCTCAGGCAAATGCGTGTGACAGTTTAGGTTCAAAGTAAATTTCATGAGTCTTATAATGTTATATGTCCACTTTTGATAAAAAAAAAAAAAAAAGCGATAGCTATATAAGCGATAAGTTGGATATTATGCAATGATTTTACCAGCCTCTTATTTTGGAAATATTTTTATTTTTTTTTAAATATACTGTACAGGTTATTTCCAAGCAATTGTAATATTTTGACATACATTTAAGTACATTTGAATACCATAAATACAATATATTACATTCAGTAAAAAGATGCAGAATACACAAAGGGAACATTCAAAACAAAAAAATGCACAGACGCTGCATCAAAATTTGGACTTAACCTAGGTGACCGGAAGGAAACGCGGTTCTTGTTTGATATGGTTAGCTGTCGTGTTGTCCATACAATGAATAAAGACCATATTGCAAATAGAAATAGACAAGCTATAAAAGACATTTACGTGACAAATGTAAAACAATTTAAACGAGTAAACTAACGGTTTGATTTATGTACAAAACAAGAACAAAAAAAAACAAATATATACAGCAACAAACGACAACCACTGATCATGCTCCTGAATTTGGACAAGCAAATTTTAAAGTGAACAATTACATTTTTATTTGTTTCCTTTACATACCTATGCATAAAAGGAAAAGCAGGATAGTAACTAATACAACGACACAATCAATTAAACATCATCTAGAGGTCAATATAGAGTCTTTGTCAAAATGTTGAGCTGAAAATCGTCCAAAGTGTAAAAAGAAAATTCTCTATTTACAGATACTAGTACTTTACGATATACTTTTCCTTTTGGATAGCCGAGTCAATGAATACTCTGGGTTGTATCACTGTATGCAAAAAATGAAGTGAACTTAGATAAGAGAAAATGGCATGCAGCGCAACAGCATTGTTTGATTGTTTCACAAGTAACTTTGTCATCCTGTACAATGCACTAGTACTGAAATTAAATAAAACTCTGCACAGATATGTCCTTATTAATCTACTGTTTATATACAATGTATTAAACTTACTTCAATTACATCGGTACCTTGTAGTTTCAGTCTGTCAGATAGGTTTGTTTCTGTGCTAATTTCTGTTATTTGTTTTTATGTTGTGCTTTAACACCACTGTCTAAAATAAGGGAAGGGTTATCGCTCACAAACATGTCAAGGCTCCGTGTTGAAGACCGTACTGTGACTTATAATGGTTTACTTTTATAAATTTTGACTTGGATGGAGAGTTGTCTCATTGGCACTCATACCACATCTTCTTATATCTAATAACTAACTAACTTGGAATTCCCAGAAAATCGTATGTGTGAGTTAACTGTTTTTTTTTATAGGAATGTGGTTTTAAAAATAATACAATGCCTAGCGGTGGGTACATGATTCATTACGTATACAAAATGGGGGTTTGAATTCAACGTTTCAGAATGAAGTACATTGTATGTAAAAGAACAAAAGCGTAAACCAATATAGTATGTTGGTCAAGGCATTTATCAGAACTTATTTGAACGTACACCTACTTTATCTGTTAATCTACTTAGTCGTCGCCGATCCCGTAAAAAACGTAACGTAGATCACCATGAAGTTGTGGTGAAATTTAGTATTTAAACTCATTACAGAATTGAGTGCTGTTTTTTTTCTGTATAAAATGATAGTCACTTGTTTTTGTTTCGTATCAATTTCTTAAAAACGACAATATTCAATGTTTATGTTTAGAGATTTTCCAAATACAAAAACTATATTTTATTGACACTTTAAATCGTAATCAAGACTTTCACATCTTCTTATAACTATGTGATAACATAATTTTGGCATAACTTATCTAGTGAGATTAAGGCAGTATCCTCTCACATAAAATCAGTTATACTATATAAGTTATATAGTTCAAATTTGTAAAATGGCAATGTCAATTTCAAGGTAAATTGCTCGTACCATATTTTTCAATGTTCAATCAGTATATAATATCGACTGCATGTGCACGTATATCATAGGATTATAATTTATCGTTACAAATTTAAAATAAATTTTCCATATTTGAAGATACTTGTCAACTTCTTTTGTCAAACAAAAAATTGATTAGGTTGACGGGATAATAATTCTATAAAATTGACTTCCTTTAAACATGTTAAATGGCATGGGTTACTTTCATACGGTATGGGTTGTTTTCATTCGAAATGAAAGCATATATATATATATATTATATTTTATTGTGAAACTACCCCTTTACAACGGGGGCAAGCGCTAGCGGGGTACTGACACCTGCGTCATAAAAAAAAACAACATCGTAGTATTTACAAACAACATTATATGATTTTAATAAAAATGGTACAAGATGCTTGCAAATATTTAAAAGTATAATAGATACATTTACGCTAAAATATCATAATACATTGATTATTTCGTAAAAGTACATTACAGTAACAATTTCATATGCATATATAATTGGGAATCTTTCGTCCATAAAAGATTAAAAATTTCAGTAGAAAAGAACGTTCATTCATAACGTCTACAAGGTATTTTTTCACGATCTTATCTAAACTATTACCTAAGTCTGGAGAATACAAGTAACCCAGATCACCTATCATGAACTGTATTTGTATTAAGGGCGGCAACTCTGAAAAACAGATATCCATGTTTAAACTCTCGAAACATGCTTGTGTGTCAGTACTCGTTCTTTTCCTGATAGCCGAGAAAGAAGGACAATCTAACATAACGTGAAAGATATTCTCAGTCGCATTTGAGGAACATAACTGACACTCGTTATTTGTTATCAGATTCATTCGTTGAAGCGTTGCATTTATAGGCAGACAATTCGTTCTCGCTAAAAATTTTAGCCTTGTTGAGCGGAAGTCATCAACATTTGATAGATACGGTTGCTTACGTTTAACAACCACAAAGGATTGGTACAAGTTTAGGCTACTCTTTCCTAAAATATCATATAGTTGAGTATTGGTCGTTTCGTTACCATACATTTTATTAAAGATATTTACGTTTATGTTTCCATTTGCATAATGGTCGAGACCCGCAGTCTGTAGAATAGTTTCGATATTTTCTATATATTTCCATTCATTACATTTAACAGGTATAATTTCATTTAGGATAATTTTAGACAGCCGATTATCGGGCAGGTTTTTTAATCTAGCGTAGTATGCAATTATTTGTCTATCCTTAAATCTATTTATTGACTCCCAACAAAATTCAGCTAGAAGCGCACATTTAGGGATATTCATTTTTGTGTTTAGGATGATTTTTCCCACTTTATATTGAAAACTTTTTAGTAATTCGATACATTTCTGGGATGACGGGAACCATACTGAACATCCATACGTCAGTGATGGTCGAATAGCCGACATCCACAGAGAGTGTCCAAAATTTATACGATTGAAATCCCCATGATCACCTAAAATACGAATTGCATGATTTATTTTTCCACATCTTCTTATATCTGTTAACTACTCCACATTCTGTATATGTCTGTCTGGAGTCAGTTCAGTACTGTTTAGGTGATTTAATTAATTGCTTTCTACCCTCGTTATTTTCTGTTTGTATGTCATTTTAAGCATAAATCAGATGGTTGGTTTTCTCTGGCAAGTTTCTCATTTTGTTATGCAGGAGCCTAGTAAAGCGTTCAATACGATATCGGTTTTACTCTTCGTTGAAGGTCGTACAGTACCCTGTAGTCGTTCCCTATTCCTTGGCTGATAGGTGCAATCATATCTGCATTTTTTGTTCATCATGTTCATATAAATTAAGTCAAACTATTTAATAGATATTAACGATCTTAGTAAGTGTTACATGAAAACATAACGTTATGGTAAAAGTAACAAATAGCTGCGCCACGAGCGAGTGATATGCCTGTCGCTTATTCAACAAAAAAAGAAGTTTCATAACTCATCAATGTCATATCAGAAATAAAAAAGAAAACGAAAACTAAAGAGAGCTTATCTTGATAGAAATAAACAAGTCACCAAAATTTCATGAATACTGCTTTAACATTTTTGAGTTGTTATCCGAAAACTGGAAAATCCCGCCTTTTTATGAATAAAATCACATATCCTGGAAACGTAAAATCTTAGTTTTTTTAAAAATCGAAAGGGATCTTACGTCAATAAATAAAAACAATTCACCAATGTTTCATGAACATTGGTTAAAGCGTCGGCCTTACAGACGAATGAACAACGGAATACCATAATATGTACGGTTAACGGGCGTAAAAAAAAAACTCGGACATAAAATAATATCTATATTTCCTTAAAAAATTTATTCTTTTCCAGATTCGTGAATTATTTCTTATTAAAACAACATGTGGTTCGTTTGATCTCAGTTCATCGTAGGTCAAAATTTTATTAACACGTCAAATGTATTACTTTCCGCTGAATTCCCTATAGTGACGTCGGAAAACAAAAATACATTTTTGTGCAGATCTTTTGAAAAGAAGAATTAATTATGTCTGCGTATCGTCTAAAAATAATTAAAGAAACAGATTCCACCAACAAGTCTCGTGCAATATGATATGTCTCTACTCTCGACAATTAAATTTTAAATCCATTCGAATAACTATAAAATGTACTTATAGAAAACGAGTTTGTCCTTTTTTTTCAGGTTTCAAAACGACACGCGTTTCAGGGGCAATTCTAATATTCTATGCTAAAAACTACAATTAAAAATTATGGATCTCAAATACCAGCATATAAAGAAAATAACACTGAAACAACGGACTTTTTAAAATAAAGTTTCGGTCTGCTACATATAATAGAAAGAACTAAATCTGCAAGAGTGACTTATATGTGTATATTTTCTCAGTCAAACAAAAGTGACATGATAATGTATACACAGGTATAGTAAATAAAAATCAACATGAAAAGACACAGCACAAATGAAACTTCTTCTTTTTAAAGTAATTTTAATTTTGTCGTAATAAATCAGAGCAGTTTGTGCAAAACTGTTGTACAAATCTAAATTAAGTTATATTGATATTCAAAGTCACTAACAGCGCTATTCAAAAGTGAGCTTGTATGTGCTATCCTTAAACCTTTCTGTATACTGTTTGTCAAAGCGTTCATTTTGTGCAACTGTAAAATGGTTTTTCCAGCTTCCTATTTCCCCTGAAACATAGTAATTGAAAAGTGATCTTACTGTGAGGAGACGACGGTTTTGTTTTCTTGTCGTTTGTCATGTCTTTATTACAGACAAATATTTTGTCATCAAGATGTATAGTCCGTTTGATTTCTATAAATCTTCAGAAAATAATTCTTAAAAATTAATTTTTACAAATAACAATTTTTTTTCTTGATGTATGTTAATGTATGATATATACGAACTCTGACTATAAATATCATAATTTTGTGCCAATAATAAAAAAATTCATCGAAGAGGTCTCTATGCTACTTCAATTGTTTTTATATAAAATACTTGATGGAGTAAGTATGAATAGTGTAACAGCCTTCAATTCAAAACAAAAACATTAGACATGTGCTTTAAACCTGTTAAACCAGTTATAAAAAAAACCTAGGTGGTGGTCATTTTTCATGACATGTATAGTATCTTTTGATATTTAAATGAGTTAAGTCACATGGTACAATGAAACAAACATTCAAAGCACATGTCTAATGTTTTTGTTTTGAATGGAAGGCTGTTACACTATTCATACTTACTCCATCAAGTATTTTATATAAAAAAATAGAAGTTACATAGAGACCTAATGGGTAACTTTTTGGATTATTGGCCCAAAATTATTATATTCATAGTAAGAGTTGGTATATATCATACATTAACATATATCAAGAAAAAAAAGTTTATTTGTAAAAATGAATTTTTAAGAATTATTTTCTGAAGATTTATAGAAGTCAAACGGACTATAAGAATCGCAGGTATATTAAATGTTACATGTTTAGTTCTCAATACAGTGAATTTCACAGAACACCTTATAAAAATTCAAGGTGAGCAAGCATGTATTGTTGTGCCTCGAGGTGATGACAGAAGATAATAGTAGTGTCCTATGCAGTAAGGGATATTCTAAAATGTCAATATTTTTTTTAATAAAAAATGTCTTCAAATGAATTTTGAACGTCTTGATTCTTACTTGGCAAAAACAGTTTCAATTAAAAGATGTGTGTCAATCTAGTTTGTCGGATTGATTGCTACAGATAAAGCAAAATAATATTTGTGTTCCAGTTATTTGTACAATAGTTTCTTCTGGTTGCAGAAAACATTAAATTTGAAAGTCACATGATTTTAATATCTTCTGTATAGACTAACAGCTGCTTTGTCAATTTTTTTGCGGAAAAACACTAGTTTAAATCGCAAGGTTTAAGAAATGGGGTATATGAGTTACTACAAAGGGTCACAGTTTGTGATCTTCATGACTCACTATATAAAATATATTACCTTTTCGGTAAATGAAGCCTTTTCCATCAAGATCTTTCGTATCATCTATCTTATGTTGTTTCATATTCTGGAAGGACGTTGCTTTAGCAATATCTTCTACGGTGGATTCTGTGCATTGTATATTTAGGAAATCAGCCAATTTTTTTATCTCTCTATTAGTATCCTTTATTGAATTAAACAAAACTTTAAAAACATTCATTCACCTGTCGCCCCTGTTTTCATATACAAGTAGATGTTGTGTTATTTGATACGTCAACAATCATTCTGATATGATATTAATGAAATAAAAAGTGTCCAATGTCAACAATTGTTTTAAGATTGTCTAAAAGCCCGTTCATTGATTTACGAGGAAGGAGCAAGTTGACGCACGTAAAAATGATGAACTAACAAGATCATAATACATTTCCCTTCACAATTTCGGGTTTACATATAAAGAATTCGGTGTACTATCAAGTAAATTCATATACAGTCTTCAAAATTGAGAATATTATAGCACTGGTGTATACAAAAACATACGCAATTAATATCAATTTAATATTAAAGATCTACTAACTATATAAAATAAACCATACCATGCCCACTGACCGTGTATTTGACAAAAAAACACGCCCTCTGAGCTAAATATATACGAGTCAATTTGTTTCCAATTTTTTAAACAAATAATGATTCAAATTAATTCAGTTATAGTATTCTCTCTGTTACGTTCATTATAGGATTAAAACAATCAAATGCATTTTCTGTAGTGTAAATAAAAAATATTTCAATAAAAAGTGTGAAGCGGTAGAACAAAGGAAAACAACTTTATGTAGTTCATGCGCCAGAAGCACTTACTTTCTTGATTTACCTTCATCAGGAACGTACATAACCGAATTTTGAAAGCCAAGGATGTATAAGTTTTACTTGAAATAAGTGACAATTTGATAATGTGATGTTATAAATCATGTCAGTATCAAAGTACTGACTACTAAGATGATGATTCTCTCAGGGACTGACCCAGTGGTTTAAAAATGAAAACAACGCTTTATAAAATTCATGCGTCAAAAGTGATTTCCGGATGTACCTTCACCAGAAGCCGAATTATTGGAAGCCAATGATTTATAAGGATCGAAAAGTTGAAGAGCTATATGTCCAAAAAGGACATAAATATTATAGTCAAATCCAACCAAGGTCAACTTTGCCTGAGGAAGTTGAAACGTTACTGTCTCACTAATTATAAAACTAAAGATTGTATTAAATCATGTCAGAACCAAAGTTCTGATTACTGCGTCTATACCGCTGTGTCAGTATGCAATGATCCATTGTTGACTGTAAAATCGGAATTAAAACCAGATAATTAATATTATTGGATAACAACCTTTTTTAATTCCTCATAATAACATGTAAATATTATGCCAGGATAGTCTTTCTCTGCTTTTTCCAGTTCCTTCTCATGATTATACCATGACCCATACTGACCTTCTAGTAATAAATGTTATAGCAGTATTAATTTCTACTGATTAGAAACATTAATATTCTTACCTTAGAAAGTATGGAAACAATAAAAAAGGATGGACAACACTATGAAAATAAAATGATTTATCTAAAAAAAGTACTTTTGTAAATTATATCAAGGCATATATTAATGTATGAGAGAAAGTTTGCCGTTGATTTCGTTGTCTAAAAAAAAGGGAAAAAACTATTGCTTGATCCCAGATGCTCCGGAAGGATAAACAGATCATGTGTCACAGGTGGCACCCGCCGTTTTTCTCATGTTAGTAAAAACCCGGTATTAAGTCTAATTCGGTAGGTCACATTCAGGGAAAGGTGGGAGATTCCATGACGGTCAACAAACTCGTGATGGCGTTCGTAAAATTTACGAAGGGATGATTTCAACTTCATCATTTGGAACTCTTGGTGTAATAGGTTTCTAGTGAGCAGTAACCCTCTATCAAAGAAGTCATGATAGGAAAGACAAGCCCTGGAATATCGTATCAACTGGGAAATATACATGCTGGAATGTTGCTACATAGCAATCAAAAGGTCACACTTGGGAAACTGAAATCATCTCTTTTGTAGTAAAGTTTCGTTTTCAACCGACCCTCATTGTCAATTGTAAGTCAAGCTATGAGGCAGACTTAACTGCATATGTTGTATCCTTTATCTCATGTTCGATTGGATAGATGCGTTCAACATAGGCAATACTTTTTGAATTATTCAGTAAGAGAACATCATCTATATAGCGGTAAGTAAACATAAAGAAACTGCTATGTATAACTATCAAATTAATTTAGATTAAAAAAAAAACATAACTAGCATAACAGCATTGGTTGTCTCGTGGTAGCGCGGTAGCCTCGACTGCAGATGTCGTTATTTCTATCACCGACCTGTTCAAACCAAGCCTTTTACGATGTGTGCTTGTTGTGTCTCTGGCGTACAGGACAAAGAACCAAAAATTGGTCGCTTATTTTAAACGTATTTTTTTTTACTTTGCAGTTTCATGTATGTACGAATTTGTATATATTTTTGTTAACATGTAAAGCGCTTAGAGTAATTGTATTGTTATATAATACGCTTTAAAAACTCATTGTAATAATAATAATAATAATAATAATAATAATGTGACATTTTCAAAGAATTCCGAATGGTTTTGCTAAGGCAGTCTATTCCTTGAATAGAAAATCACTAAAAGAGAGGCGGATGATACCAAAAGGATATTCAAACTTATAAGTCGATGACAAACTCATAACTCAATGGAAAAAAAACGAAAAACAACCAAAAGAACATAATACAAAACACAAACTAAAAAACTACATACGGAGCAACACGACCCCATCAAACAATCATTGGAGTGATATATGGAGGTTCGGCATGGTGAGCAGATGTTGCTGCACATATGATATCCGTATCTGTTGATTAGTAATATAGAAAGTATGCAACGTGTTTTAGTACAGATCATTTAAGGCAATCACTGAATACTGAATTAAAAAAAAAAATAGTTATATTTTATAAACCAAGAATTGTTTGTAGATACGGTATCCAACATGTATATCAACACACTATTTGTTTTGTCAACCTTCTTCTTGTTTTTGTTTTTCTTTCTTTGTTTTTTTTGTTTTGTTTTGTTGTTGTTTTGTTTTGCTGTAGGAGCATGTTAAAGAAAAACAATTGGATTAAATATCGACATAAAGTTTTTCCTGTTATTTGGTTTGTAAGTAACTTACATTTGTCAGACATCCACATTTCAAAAAAGTCATCCCAAGATCCTCTAAAATCAATAGTAGCTTGTTTCTTATAGTGATGATAAAAGGAAACACAGACATCCTTAGGGTTTCTAATCATGTGAATTATCTTGCATCCATTTTCAATATGCTTACTTGGAAGATATCTAAATAAGAAGTGGGTGGTTAGTAGCCTTGGTGATTGCAGTTCATCTAGGACTGTGAGATCAGGAATAAATTCTATTATCGTCATAACTTTGTTAACGCTATCCAACTCTGTTTTGTTTCGAAGCAACATGTTGCTCACTTCATTGATCCAATGTGTTCCTTTATTTACAATACATATTAAAATCATTACAAGTTCTTCATGTATAACTTAATTTATATAAGAAAGGTGCACACGCTGAAATGTCTCGTCAGCTTAATTGACCAATGATTTTATGTTCTAAGTCTTAAAGATAAAAATTTTAGTACAAGAAACTCATAACATTAACATTTTGAAAGATCCATGACAATGAGATCAAGGTCAGAAAAATCCTATCTGAAAGATATTCACACCTTACAATTATTCCATACACCAAATATAGTTGACTACTGCTTATGGTAATTGAAAATAGGACCATAACACAAAACCTTAACATTGACAAATGAACTATGAAGAAGAAGTAAAGGTCAGAAAAATCCTATCTCAAAGATATGTACACCTAACAATCATGCCATACACCAAATATAGTTAACTCATTGCTTATAGTGCTTGAAAAACAGATCAAAACTCAAAATCTCAACATTGACCAAAAAACCTTGAAAATGAGGACAAGGTGTGATGAAACCTGCATGACCGACATGAGCATTTTACAATCATTACATACACCAACTATAGTTGCCTTATTGCTATTGCATAGTACTTGAAAAACCGACCAAAACACAAAATATTAACATTGACCAATGAATCATGAAAAAAGTAGAATAACAAAAATACCGAACTCCGAGGAAAACCAAAAACGAAAAATCACCCACCAAATGGCAGAGTAAAAGGCTCAATCACATAAAACGAATGGAAAACATATGTCATATTCCTGACTTGGTACAGGCATTTCTCTTATGTAGAAAATGGTGGATTAAACCTGGTTTTATAGCTAGCTAAACCTCTCATTTATATGACAGTCGCACACAATTCCACTATATTAACAACAATGTGTGAACAAAACAAACATACATAATGAGTAAAAATATCAAAAAATAGGGGTACAGTAGTCAACATTGTTTTATAATCTTAATCACTATACAAACAAACAAATATTTCAACAAATAAAAACAAAATGGCACACAAACAAAGCACATAGGCAAAAATGAAAGACAAGAATAAAAAAATGACAATAGTACAATAACACAATGGCGGGATATATAAGGACTGAGCCACGCCAAAAAGAATACATTACCACAATTGGACTGAATACTAAAGGTTAATTTACAAAGAAGAAAAAAAACCCACTATAACACGCAATTAAGATGATAAACAACGTCAGTACCTATAATCTATACTTCAAGACCATAATGCATTATTTGTGAAGTTGATACGGAATATTTATCAACAATAACTTGATATCTTCCGATGAACTCTTTTAGAAAAAGGACGCGACGTTCTTTGACATAACTCTGGTTCATCAACCTTTTGCCAAGACCCTGGTGACGTTTTATAAAGTCTGCGGAGCAACTGCAAGCTCTTGAATACCGAATTAATTCGGAAATGTATATCCCATATGGGGGTTGAGTTGGTATATTGCTACTAAGTTGGGGGAAATTGATATTTCAAAATTAAAATCTTGTTGGTGATAGATTCTGGTACTAAGATGACCGTTTATGTCAAATTCGAAGTATAAGTCTAAAATTGAGGCAAAGGAATTCGTGTCTGGTGTTTCTTTAATTTCTAGTTTGAAAATGAGGTCAAAGTCAGATGAAACCTGCAATACTGACATGTACCCCTTACAATCATTCCATACATAACGTATAGTTGCCCTATTGGTTGTAGTACTTGAAAAACCGACCAAAACACAAAATCGTAACATAGACCAAAGAACTATGAAAATGAGGTTAAAGTCAGATGAAACCTGCAAGACTGACATGTATCCCTAACAATCATTTCATGCACAACGTATAGTTGACCTACGTCTTATAGTATCTGAGAAACGGACCTTATGACGTTACTTTAACCTTGATCACTGATCAATAACATTGGTTCGAGGTCAGGTGAAACCTGTCTGTTGGACATGTAGACGTAACAAGGAACCCATATACCAAATATAGATATCATATTACTCATAATGAGTAGGGAATTCACATGACAAACACAAATATATTCTTTTTTTCAGCACTCGCTGAACCATGAAAATGAGGCCAAGGACAATGGACACATGACAGACGGAACTTCTTAAGATCAGGTATCTATATATTAGGTATGGAGCATACAGGTTTTCTACCTTCTAAAATATAAAGCTTTATACAAAAAGTTTACACCACCGCCTGATAGTACTCCCTATATCTCGAGGGAGACAAAAATACGGAGATGTGGTATGATTATTAATGAGATGACTATCCGCCATAGTTCAAATTACGCGCAAATAAGCAGTTATGTGTTACCGTACGGCCTTCAACAATGGTTGATGATTGACTGTTGATTACTTAACGTCCTATGGCAAATTAAGGAAATGAACTGTATTTGAAGAGTTGTCACCGTCAAATCAAAAATTTAAGGTATAAACGCTTAAAATATAGTACTGTTATTCCTATTCTAATGCAGTACTTTAATAATGTTGCTGACTGCGATTGCGCATCTTTGTTGCCAATGACTTCGACCATCATCCGTGGAATTGATGGCAGATGTTCAGGACGAGAACAAATTAACAATAAATACAATAGGTAAGTTCCGTAAAAGAGTCAGTCCGTGATGAAGGTCGCAAAAATTTGGACTGCCACTTGAAAATGAGTATATTATTAAGGACAGAAATTTAGCCTTGCAACAGGCAACCTACAGACCCTTCAAAGAGTTGTTGTAAATGCACTAACGTTCAAAGAGCGCGGCACTCTTTTTACACGTAGAATCGGATTTAACGTCTCCATTATAACTGGATGTGGCTGCGGACTTGTACATGTCACATAGCCAAACCAACGCCCCATTTTGGTAAAGTTCTACTGCCAGTGAGAAGAATACCTTAGTGACTATATTTCTATTACCCAGTCAGCCACGGAGACCTTCACCAAAGAGCAAAACCAATACCGTAAATTTCAGCCATAAAAGGCCCCGAAATGAAAAAATGTGAATCAATTCAAACGAGCAAACGAACTGCGCCATTGGCTATTTTTAGTTGTATTTGTGTCTCTTCTGTCTTGAAACAATTTGGTGTTGATTATAGATCTTTGAAAGTCTGTGTTGACCTTATAGACTAAATGCCTTTCCACGAGCTCTTCAGAGTAATCATTAGATACATTTTTATTGTTAAAGACCGAAATGTATCATTTAAATATATGTTGGTACCTTTCATGTTGTTGGGTTGCTGTCTCTCTGACTTGTTAAATATTTCTCCTTTAACAATGTTAAACCTTGAAATTCTATTTTATGACGGGTGTATGTGGATAGATATTCGTAAGTTTTCAGAGCATCTGCTTGGTTGTATTAATTAGATGATGAGAAATCCGTTATTAATTTATATTAATGGAGCAATACATCTAACACTACAATGCCTTCTAACAGTTATGCTATTGCAATGACACATTCAACGCATTATCTGTATAAATAAGGTTTTAAAAAATGCAACGTTAGCATCGCGACCACGCTATATTACTGATTTGTTTGTCTTGTATACAACAGAAACACATAAATAAGGATAAAAATCAAAAACAATATTGTCTAGACCTTTTCATTCATCTTTGGACTTGTCGAAACTAGTGCGTTGTCATGAACAGCACCGTTAAAGAAGACTATCTTATTGCATTGATTGAGTTAAAAGGAGAAGCAACTGAACTCCAGTTCTTAGTGTTATACAGATATACGAAGATTTGGTATGAGTGCCAATGAGACAACTCTCCATCCAAGTCAAAATTTATAAAAGTAAACCATTATAGGTCAAAGTACGGTCTTCAACACGGAGCCTTGGCTCACACCGAATAGTAAGCTATAAAGGGCCCCAAAAATTACTAGTGCAAAACCATTCAAACGGGAAAACCAACGGTCTAATCTATATGAAAAACGAGAAACACTTATGAACCACATCAACATACGACAACTATTGAACATCAGATTACTGACTTAGGACAGGTGCAAACAAATGCAGAGGGTTTCAACGTTTAAATGGTACCAAACCTTCACCTTTTTTTCTAAAACAATAGTGTAACATCACAACAAAGAAAGACACACTATGCTTGTTCCTTGTCAGACATGCAGTAGGTGGTGTTGTGTATATTAGTTTTATACATTCGATATTACGGTTTTGTAGGCAGATTTTTTGAAATATCTGTTTTGAATCATACATAACTGGTTAAAGTCGCAATGGTTTTGAGTTTGACTGACGTTTTGGACAATTGTACATCATTATGTAAGAGCGTATATATATTTGTGTGTATATTATTGTACTGTCGGGTAGCTGTTTTATTGACATATTATACCTTACATCTTTAATTATACACAGACTTCCTTTGAAGAAGAAAAGTAACATTAAATAAAAAATAAGGTAAACAATGGGAAATTCCACAAAAATTTTTGAAACTTTTTTCCTTTTAATACTGATTGCTGACGAAATTCTAATTATTATATCCATAATGCAGATTTTTTTCAAAGATAATATTTGATAGAAAAAAACAACTGATGGAAAATAACGATATCATCATTTTCATTATAAAAAAAAATAAGTTAAAACGTGTTAAGATTGATTGTTGTTTTTTTTAACTCCAGTGACAAATATGTCATACTTGGTCAAGACGAGAACAAATTGACTATAAATACAATAGGTAGGTTATGTTGTAGGGGTCTACAAGGATGAAGGGCGGGAAATATGGACGGCCACTGAAAAATGAGGGTATATCGAATAGGGACTAGGGACAGAAATTTAACCTCGCAACAGGTCATCTACAATCCCCCCCTCCCCCCACAATGAGTTGTTTTAATGGTTCCGTACGTGCAGAGATCATTGCACTATCTCTGAACGAATCATCTCGTTTTTAACATTCTGACTGGACGTGGCTTCATGATTATACATCCCGCAAAACCAAACGGACACCCCACTTTGGCAATGGTATAACTCCCGGTTATTCTCTGTCAAAACATTCCAATTTTCTACCCTTTACAACACCATACAGCATGAACATTTAAACTCGTCTAAAAAAAAATCACTGTGTTTTTCTGCTTTAATAGTGTACTATAAGCTACTAATTCATTGTTTGGGATACAAATCGACATATTTTATAAAAAAAATAACACAAGGGTAAAAAATACTTCACCGAACAATTGATCACTATGCTAGAGTTTCTCATTTACAGCATACTTGTTGAATTTGGAGGTATAGAATTTCTCCACCAGGTTGTTGGCATTTCTAAGGGATTCAAATGTGCCCTTGCCTACCTTTTTTTTTTCTCATATGCGTCGGAATTCATTCCAACACACGTTAAAAAAAATATATCAAAGAAGCTACATTTTATAGATCTTTTAATTTCACGTACATGTATATTGATAATGTTCTTTTCATTAACAATCTTAATATGTTTGATTTAGTCCAATTAATATATCTTCCTGAATTAGAGATTAAAACATTACAGATACAGCTTCTTCTGCATCATTTTAGACATATATCTCGAATCTAACTGCAATGATCATATCAGTATCAGAATCTATGAGAAACGAAACGATTTCAATTTAGAAATTATAAATTGTCCTCACCTTGGCAGCAATATTAGAACTCAACACACATATGGAGTACACATTTTTCAACTCATTCGATACTCTAAGAAAAAACACAGCTAATAAACCAAGGTTTTGTCAAATAACGACTGGACCTTTTTTTCTCAAAAAGTTTATAGAAAATTGTCAAGATCAAAGAAAAAAATATTCATATTCTACTTCACAAACAATACAAAATGGTCTTGAATTATAGATTGTAGGTGCTGATGTTGTCATTAACTTAACTTTACAGTTTTCCCTTTATTTGTCTTTGTACTATTATGTTCCTTTTTGGTTATATGACTATTGACGTGGCTCGGTATTTTTGCATCCAGCTTTTGAGTTTTTGGCTTTGGGCTTTCCTGATGCGGTTGGTACAGAGGTGTGATTCGGACGTATGTAGTTTTTATAGTGCTGTTTTCATTTTGTATACCCTTGTATTTATTTTTTACTTAATTTGTACTTTATCAGGAAAGTGTATATGTCATTGTTTTGTACTACAAGCAGCTACAAGAAAATTAATTGTTGGCGTCTTTGTCAGATTTATTTGTATGTTTGATTAGATTTTTGTAGACAGTTGTGTTATATGTCTGTAATGTATTTTTACACATTTTTGGCTGCTGGATCCCGATTATTGTCACGTTTTTCTTTAATGTCTGTTTGGGTTGCTCACTCAATTTCGTCGACTTAACGGAACTGTAAACAAATGTAATAATAGTGGCTGATAAAGCTAGCTATAAAACAAATAGAAATGCAAAATGCCTGCAGTCAGGACCATTATAGTTGTTTTTTTATCGTTACGTTGGTTGGCATAGTTAAACGATTCATATGACAGGTTTAATGGACGTCACCCTTTTTTTGCATTTACCTTAGGGGTCGGTATTTTTGTTAATACTTTATTTTTTACTTCTTTGGATTTCCCCGCTTTCTTTTTAAAGCGGAAACATAATAGAAGACAATAACAAAGGGAGATTATCTAAATCAGTTATGCGTTTGGAAAAGTCTGACTAATCATTACCTGGCAAGCACTCATTTGAAGCATCAGTGAAATAATCTGTATTTTTTAGCAGTTTCGAATATTGTTTGCTCTATTTTTCTTTATCCTATATGTTTTGTCCATTTTTCTGTAGATTTGGCAAATTATCCTCTTTACTGTAAACCCCGTCCTGAACCTCAAAGATCAATTAGGCTCGTATAATGTATTCTGTGTTATCTTGTATTGTAACATAATACTGATTTTACCTGATTTTGGATATGTGCAGATCATAATATCCGAAACTCTAGACTGAATGTGAAATATGTCTTGTAAAACCTTCTCCGCTCCTTTTTCTCTGAAAGGATGTGCGAGTGGATAACAAATTCCCTCAAACTCTGGAAATGAACCCAGTTTTGCCTTCATCAGTTCTCCAAATTTTTCCATATCCATCTTTACATATACTTAAACTAACAAAAAGTAGTTCGGTTACTCATCAGGTCAAAAAATAGATTTGCATAGACGTAGGCTATAAAAATCTTCATGATAAAGTGCAAATATGATCATTGTTGGTTGATGTTATCAATATTGTTGTAACATAAATATGCCTGAGATACGAAAAGTACTATTATTTGGTGACGATTTAATATTTTGAATAAAAATAGAACATTCTGGCGCTGTAAATTGATACGGACAAAATTTTGTAGTCATTGTGTTCTAATATTGCTGGCATTTGTATAATACAATCCATCCTGAGTTAACAAAGTTACTGATTTATTATGCGGCTATATACATGTTTATAATAAAGTGCACATATTGTCAATTTTGGTTGATGCGGACAAATATTTTTACTATATGAGCCAGACTAAGATATGAAAACTACTGATGTTTGGTGATAATCCAATATTTGGAATAAAACGAGGGCATGCTGAAACTCCAAATTGATGGAGAAAAATAATTGACAGTTGCAATATTGGTACTATGAATAAAAGCCGACCATAAATATTAGTAACTGTACACCAATATTGTATTATACAAAGTAACCGTTATTGCCATTGTTAATCGACTCTATCTGATTACCAACTTTTTAAGCTTACTGCCACAACAGTAAAACAGATCAGAACTTAAACATTTTATGTAAAATTTAAACGACTTGAATAATTTTGAATTCAGTGTACGTTGCGGTGGACTAATATCGTATTCGATTTGTTAAAAGGCAGGTCATGAAGACATTTGTGTAACAAACAGAGTTTTATGCGTACTTTAGTTACAAATGTATTTAATCTATATTGTTTATATCAAGAAGAAAAGACAATTAAAAATGTTTTATCAAGCGATGTGGAGCGGTCCTGGTCACAAGTAAACTTAGTGTTAAGCAGACCAACCAAAAGTTAACTTTAGATCAGGTTTGTTTAATCGGAGTTGTCAAAATCAAAGTTAACTTATTGCGAAATTGGTTTCGAAGTTAGTAGCGGACCTGTCTAAAGTTAATTATTTCGGCAGTGATAAAACAGACATAGGTCCGATTTTCAAGTAACTTGATTGTGGTCCTAAGACCGGTCGGAGCAGTCCTAAATCATGTCACAGGTTAACTTTGACCATTCAAAATGACTGGTTAGCAAGTTAATCTGCTGTACAGAACAGGATTGCACCCATCTATTGTTTATCTACAAGTCTTTATAATTTTCAGATGTGCTTCTACCATGTCTACTAAGAAGAGAAGGCTTAACATATACATTATAATGCAAGCTTCATCTATGTTATGGATTATTTTTATTGATCCATTGTGAATTATAATGACGCTAAATGTAGTAAAGTAAATGTTGTATACTTTGTTAATTTTTTATTATTTTTTTCTTTTTTTTTTCTTTTTATTTTCTATTGAATTTTTTAACATCTATAAAATGTTATTTTTTGTCTTTTTTAAATTTCAAATAAACATCTGCAGCACGCAAACGCTTGTTTATATATGTTATCAATGAAACTCAATAAACATGCAACTTACTTGATAAAAACCCAAAGCAGATTTGACTCTATCTAACTATTTTCAACCTATATACACGAAGTAATATCTGTTCTTCGCACATACATTCATGCACATACTTTTCCGAGTTCAACCTTTTGAACTTTCACATTGTTAGTTTGAATCATTGTAATCAATATTAAAATAATATCGTTACCCGTTTAAGGAATATGCTGGTATACATGTAAAATTGTACCCTGACATTAGCTAATAAAGAGCAGTCATTAATATAAAATACATGCAACAAAAGAAAATACGTTTACCTGTCTAGCCTTACATTGTCTTTATTACGTATTCCTGAGCACTCCTTGTCGATCCACCCAACGAACCTAGATAATTTAATGAATCCGTATGAATATTAACACTCAAGATACACATGTGTTATAAAATCATTTCCGATCTTTTGATAGTAGTTCTGATATTCATACTTATGCATACCACCTTCATCAACAGTATGTAAAACTTAGTGATTATCGAAACAATTATATGTATAACTATATGTCATGTTTATATAAAGAGCAAGGCGATTGCATGAATTGTTGAATATTCATTGACGGCGATGTTTTAGGGTGTATATGTTACAGTGATTTTTTTTTACATAATCACTAAACATTTTATTTTACAATTTCCTTGAAATGATATCGGAGAAAATAAATGATACAAAGATTTTACGTTTAATAAGAATAAATCAAATACAGAAAAATACATCATATGTATACCCCTAAATGGTTTAAGTGGACTGTTTTCTCTCCCTGCTGTTTATCAAATCTTATTAAAGTAAACAGGTTTTTTTCCGGTGATATTCTATTTAACTGTGTTGGATCACATCAACTCATAAACATAGAATGTCTTTCAAATTAATTTTAATGTGACCAACATAATGCACAGATCATGAAATTTGCTGTAAAACAAAGGGGATAAAAGTAATTGAACATCTTTGCTACGTTTTCTTTGTTCAAATGAACAAGGAGTTAAACTAAGCAAAGAAATGCTAAAGGTACCGAAAAACAAATAGAACACATGCTTGACAGATTAAACGCTATTTTGGAGGAGGCAAAATATGACTTAATGTTTATAATGGAAAAGGAGACCCCAAACATATAATGGCCATTGTTCATTAAAGGATTGAAAATGGTAATGCCTGGCTACGAATTATGAAATTTTACTCAGATAATACACAGGATACACAAGGAATCAATTGAGGTGTCTAGTTGACCTTTTTAGCACCTTCATATGTTGATGATATCGTCGGAATGCTCAACCTAGGCGCTTTTGGCATGGAGGCCATTTTTATTTGTTTGTTTCAAAAATATTTGTAAATTTATCTTGAATTGTTTTACATGTTTAAATTGTTCTTGTTCTTATCCATATGATATTACAATGTGATAAATTCATACGAAATTCCTGTTTTCTTATTTTCCTCGTATACAATGCTTGACGAAAAAAGGTTGGAATATTGTCAAAGCTGTTTCATGGCACTTAAATAAAACAAACAAAAAAACAACAAATATGTGAAACATCTCGAAGTGCCAAACGTCATGAATTGATGCATTACATTCAAAGTCGTGAATCTTATAATGTTATATTGAAAAGGAGATAACTATATATTTGTATAACTATAATACAAAATTTCCACACCCTACAAGTTTTTATCAGAACTATAATGTTCTATCTCCACACTCCGATTGGCTTATTCATCTAGTTTATTCAGAGAAAAATATGTTTATAGTGTTGTATCTTCACTATTTTCCAGGTATGTTTGCTGTAAAATACTTGTTATAAAAATTATCTTAGAAGTACTATGCTTAAATTGTTTGCATGGTTTGAACTCAATCTATGAGCAATTTTTAGCCTTACGATATTACACAGTTAAAAAAAATGCATGGTCTTTCTCATTTGGTAATATAGGGATACATTTGTAAAACAGCACTGTTGATAGTTACTCTACATGTACGTAAATTCAATTTATATATAACTGTTTATGTCTAGGTAAATATTTGATATCACGCTTTTAAACTTCAATCTAAATGTTTACCTCTTTTAACAGATGGGAAATACATCACTATAAGATTAACACGACACAATGTTGATTCTGCTCTCCATTTCACTTGGGTTTGTAATTGTCATTTATTACAGCTAGGTCTTCAAAGTTTTACAATTTGTTGTGTCTCACAGCGCGCCTGTCATATCATTTGTTATTTTTTGTTGACCATATAATGACCCCTATGTCTTTTCATGATTAACCATTTTGTTATGCTGATTAGATATTTACACTTTCTTATATTTGTTTTTGTATTTCTCTTGTTATCACATGAATAAAGAAGCAATAACTTAAAAAAAATTATATCATATGCAAAATTGATATTAATGCTACCAACATAATGCACAGATCATAAAATCTGCTGTAAATGATACCAGATACCAGACTGTGAACTAGCAACACTTATTAGTAACGAAAATGAGAGTAATATGTGATATTATCCATCGACATTAGTGTACCATCAAAATTGTTCAGACAAATTACTTCGACTGATGCTCATAAGAATAGTATTTTTTATTTAAAACGTAATTATATTGAATTACAAAAAATGTAAAGGATTTTATATTTTTTTTTGGTCACTGCTCATAAGTAATACTTTTTGTAGAACATGTAGAAAGAAGTCTGTCACAGTTTTTGACCATTTAATCTAAAGGAGATAAATTGTTATGATATCAGACGATTAAGTAATTGTCCTACTTTGTGTGCAGTTGATTTACATTTAGAGGATACATCATACATTTTAACAAATCGATAAAGTTAACGTAATGATTTACATTTGCACACAAATAATTTGCGCTGTATATGATCCACTGAATAACTGGAGAAAACGGTGCTGTTATTAAAAGATTAGAAGTAAAAATTTGTTCAGGTACACAGGGTAAATGCATGGAAAACGCAATGAAAAACATAACAACAAAGAATATTTAGTTATTTCTTATTCGTTCCCTATTTAACTATGTTTAATTCAATTCCAGAAAAGATGAATGAAGGCATGACCGTTGTATAACAACCAGATTGAATTTACATCAATGTATTTTTATTGAAACTGGAAAAATACTGCATGCATTCATGACATTTGTGATAAACCATTATCATTTGTGTTTGCAAATTGTTTATTCATTTTTTTATAGACTTGATTTGCAACGATTAGCACTGGCTGTTTGAGTTGTTTGGATTATCAAGGACCTTTTTTCTAAAGGAGGTCATGCATTTTTCTTTTTTCTTTTAAAGATTGAAAACGAGTTTGTCATTAAATGATATTTCAGAAATATTCTTTATTCATTTTTGTCTTTGGTTTCACCATTGATATCTTGTTTTAGTTATAGCTAGCATATTCACAAACAAATCATCACTTCTACATAAGGAAATGCCTGTACCAAGTCAGGAATA